TCAACAACAACAAAAAAAACAGTATTAGGCTAAAATATATGAAACTGCCATTTGTGTAGGTCAAAACCGGTTGAACAATGGTAACTTCATATGTTTCAATCTAATAGTTTCCGAAAAAACTCCCCAAGGCCTAAAGTTCATGGACTCCACTTGGACTTCATCTACTATTAACCAATCACGGTGGCCACTAGAATAGAGGACTCTTTTTGGCCAGGTCTGAGACACACGCCCCCTTGAGAGCCATGTCACAAAAAATGAGGGAACACTGATTCCTCCAAGAAAATTAAAAGTGTTTTATCAGAAAAAGAGGAATAAAAACAGAGAAGGCAAAACATGAGATGCCCATTGTGCATATAACAGACGCAAAATGTGTAAATTTACCATGAAGGTAATGAAGACTCACTTCAGGGAAACTCACCCGCACAGGCTTTGTCCAAGACTATATATCTGATCTCATATTTACATTTTTCAATTCTTTTTATTTGTTTTCTTACAAATGAGTTTCATTTGCATGCTGACCCAAGCACAGATTCCACATACAGATTTCTCATCTGCACAATGGTACGGTAACAAATGCAAAACATGCTTCATCTCAGGTACAAAAACAACTCGGCAGAATTCTTTTTCTTTAAACAGGGCCCTCCAAATCATGTAAGCTTTAGGAACAACAAAACCTGACAGTGCAACTCACAAAAATACTCAAACGTATTTGTACAACTAGTAAGTATTCTCAGTGTAGTGCCCTTCCTCCTGCTTATAGTGGAAACAAACCATTTAGTAGGTAGTTTATTTACTAAATTCTCAATAACTCAATCCCTTTTGGCACTAACAGGATCATCCCCTTCAGATCTCCCCAACTTCTCAGAACTCAGCAGACCAACAAAAATAAGGTCCTTTTTCACTCTTGCCCCACCTTGAACTTTACTCTCTGCTTCCAGGTATCCCCGTTCCTAAGAGCCCAGCCCATAAGAAAGCTGCATCCCTGGGCCTCACCGTGGTTCCATACAGCAACAACTCAAAAAAACTTAACAGATGCTCAGACTCACTCTAACCTAATGTTTATTTTTTAAAATTGCAAATCAAGCGGCACCTGGGTGGCTCTGTTAAGCATCTGACTTCGGCTTAGGTCATGATCACAGGGCTCACGAGTTTGAGCCCCGCGTCAGGCCTTGTGCTGACAGCTCAGAGCCTGAGGCCTGCTTCAGGTTCTGTGTCTCCTGCTCTCTCTCTGTCCCTCCCCAACTCATGGTGTCTCTCTATCTCTCTCAAAAATATATAAACAATAAAATGTTTTAAATAAAATTGCAAATCAAAATCAATTCTCAGAAATTACCAAAGAGAGAATGTGAACTGTAAGGTGGATCTGATATTGAAGTGAATCTAGGATGTGAGTTGGGTCAAAGCAAACATACCTACTGAGACCCCATTACCAGATTTGTGCCAAAATTGGGTCTGGACTACCAGAAAATGCACCCTTGTTACTGGGATTTCCAACTGCACTCTATCCTTCTGTTTGGCAGTCAGACAGCCCCAGGAATGTAAATTCATGCTGTTTGGAATGTGGGGGAAGGTGAGGGAACTAAGCCTGCCTGCTGCTATTCTGACTGTAGCATTTGTCCCTGGGAGAGACAGCACTGGCATTGATGGTGTTTTTCTCCCCTCTCAGGAAAATGGCTTGGGCTGTGTGTCAGGGAAGGCCAAGGGGCACCAACACGTGGCAATTTCTGCTGAATTCCCCAGCAGGCTTCCGAATCTGTAGTCCTTCAGACGTGGCACTCAGTTTGAACCGTTTATTTTCCTCTCCCCCCACCTCCTCCAAGAAATATGGCTAGAAACGGGGCAGCGCAATTGTGTTGCCTTTTTTCTTTTAATTTGTTGAAATTGTCTCTAGGCAGAAGAAGGGGGGGAGTAGAAACCAGATGGTTGTAGCTGGAGTGGAAGCCCTACTACTGAGGAGCTCTGAAACGTTCCAGTCTGGTGGCCGTCACTATTTCTCTGCAGGGAAAGGGATGAAATAAGAGTGGTGGCAAAAGATTTCCAGAAGGCTGACCACCAGAATCCTATTTTCTCTATTCTACATTTACACACATGTAAATCGAAATCTCCTTTCCTTCAACTCTCCAAACCACTGCCAACTTTGGGTTAAACCTTGGAGGTGAGGGTGTTAGTTACTTGTTATGAAAGGGGTTTACATCACGGGACTTAAACAGTCTACAAGTGAGTATTATCCTTTCTTCCTTACGGCCCCCTTAGCCGGCCTGAATCTTCCTCCTCAGCTTCCCCATCACTCACCAAATCCTAACAAATCTCTCTAAATCACCTCATGTGTTCCTCAATCTTTTCTTCCTACACACATCAAGTACTGAAACAATTGGGACTGAGGAAGGAGGAATAATCAGAAAGTTGGCTAAAAGTTAACCACTTTTATCTTCTTTTGTTTGGGGAGATGCTGACAGCAGCAGAGCTCCCCACCCTGGTCTCCAAGCCACCTAAACAGGGAGAGTAGCGCGCCAAGGTCAGGGTTAGGGCTAATGCCTCCCCCTTCCCACGCTTTGTTAGGGAAAACTGATTCTCTATCTTTTGTGTTAAAAAAAAAAAAAAAAAAAAACTATGCAAATACAACTGAATATCCATTCATATGTCCACCTGTTAGGGTCTTTTCCTCCCCAAATAGATGTATCTCTGTTAACACTACTTCTTCAGCTCTCCAGCACTAACTGGGAGTTCTACGATTCATCTCCATTCTGACACTAACTACTGGGAGTTAGCATCAGACTCCACTGGCTTAATGGCTCAATCCCACAAGACACCCACACTTCAGAGACCAGACACGAGTATCGAGTTCCCAGATTCCCCACACTTATGTCACACTGGACACTAATTCAGGGGTTCCCACAAAACCCTCTCAGATTGGATAACCTGTCAGAGTGACTCACAGAACTTGGGCAGGGCTTTACCTGCCAGTTGGCTGTCAAGAATGTGAGGCAGGAAGGGATGCCTTGGGCAAGGTATGGGAAGGGATGTGGCACTCCCATGCCCTCTCTGACCTTGCCACCTCTCCAGCGCCTCCACATTTTCAACAACCTGGAAGCTCCCTGAATGCTAGTGTGTAGTGTCTTTTATGGTAGTTTCATGATGTAGATATGATTGGCAAAGTTATTGGCTATTCGTGATTCAGTCAATCTCTAGTCCTTCTCTTTAGGGAAGTTGGTGGTGGGGTTGAAAGTTCCAAACCTCTAATTCTTAATCTTTCTGGTGACAAAAGATTCCTGTCACTCTTGTGGCTCAGGAAGCTCCAAGGGTTTTAGGAGCTCTGTGACCAGAACTGGGACAAAGACCAAAATATCATTCTTATTATACCACTCCGTTATGCTTACCTGTCTTGCAAAAAAAATCCTAGAGTCCCACTCCTTAAGGTGTTAGTCTTCCTATTTCTGTCTCTCCTTCTCTGAGTTCTCTCCATATCACCTTAAGAGATTAACCAGGAACTCCTTATATGTTGTGGTTGAGGCTTTTCAACACATAATTGGCTCCCCTGCGGTAGACCTCTTTATCTGTCCCCTACAAATAAATCCTTCATGGGAACAAGCATTCTCAGATCATGGGAGCAGAATACCAACCCCACCTCTGTTCTTCCCACAAGAATCTTAGAATGTTGTCGTAAGGGTGGACCTCAATGGCCCAGGAACTCACTCTCACCTTGTTTCTTTCCTGGGCCACCTCCCCTGGCTCTGGCTCACTGATACCCCATAAAGGAGAAGTGCTCATTTTGAAAGCCAGAAGGAGACCTGTTGGCTTTTACTTGTTAAGTCTCTAATGGGAACCCCTCAGAGCCAGTCTGGAAACTCCGGAATGCAAGATCAGGAACTTCACAGGTTAAAATGGGATGAGGACCAGTTTGGCTCTGTGCGGTCTGCGCCTCTGGTTGCCGGTTCCCCTCCCTGAATACTGTGCAAAAACAAAAAACAAAAAACATAACTAGAGCAACAACTGATTCAGGGAAACGAAGCTTTCCATTTCGGTCATCAAGAGAACTTCCTTCGAAATCAAGAACCTCTTACGCTCCTCAGTTTGGGCTTTAATGATCTGTGGCCCCCAGATGGTCTCAGATGGTGAGGGCCTTAAGTGCACACAGGTTGATTTGAAATCCATGTTTAGGTCCCGGCATGTGGCAATGTGCTCCACTCTGATGACACTTTTCGTTTCTAATAATAGCGCAGATGAAGTAATATTGCAACTGACGTTCCCGGGGATTTGATTGGATAAGTGCATAAACTGTGGAGGTGGGGAGGGGGGGGGGTTGCTCCATGGACAGATCACATTAGTATTCCCGTCCTATCAATGTGCGGGGCAGCGCACAACGTCAGGCGGACCGATTCCCTGCGTCTGCCAGTCCCGCCACGGATTCATTTGGGATCCTCAAACAGATGAGCCCGTAGAGACGGGGGATCAAGGCGGCCTATTAGAGCCAACTGCCTGCTTCGGGGACTGCCAGCCCTTCAGGCCTGGCAACGGGGGAGGGAGGGGAAAGACGACGGAGCGCCGCTGCTGCGGGAAGACACTGAAGCCAGAGCGACACTCATCCCCCCACCCCCACCTTACAGCGCAGGCTTTGAAAGCTGCTCCCCCATCTGAATGGAAACTCAGAACCGCCGGGCGGCGCGTTCCTTCTCGCCCAGCGTTGCGATCCATGCCGAAGGGCAGGTAGTGCGAGCCCGCGTCAGCGCCCAGCTCCCGGGACAGGGCCGGCAATGCTGCTGAGCAGAACTTGACCAAGCCCCTTCCTCGCGGCTAGTGGAAGCAATGCTGCACGGCGCAGCCGGCGCTTCCCAGGCTCTCCTTCAAGCTGAAGGTTACCCACCCGCGCAGCCAGCCCCAGCCCTGTGAGCGCCGCGCCTCGCTTCCCGGCTCCGGCTGCTTGGCGGCACGCAGGGCAACGACCGGGCCGCCCGCGCCGGGGCGCACTGCACCAGCGGCTTGGGCTTGGTGGATGTGTATGCATGAGTTCTGCACCGAATGGGCGCAAGAAGCGCCCCAGCCGGTCCACCCGCTCCTCGATCTTCCAGATCAGCAAGCCCCCGCTGCAGAGCGGGGAGTGGGAGCGCAGGGGCAGCAGCTCCGAGAGCGCCCACAAAACCCAACGAGCCCTGGACGACTGCAAGATGGTAGGTGAAAACTGCGCTTTTTTTTTTTTTTTTTTTTTTTGGAGAGGAGGTGGGGGAATCTTGTATGTTAATCGTTTGCTTGACTGCCTGCCACTCCCCCACCCTCAGCCCCTCCATGCCGATCACGTGCACATGCACTATTTTTAAATCTGCAGTCCCCAGATTCAGGGTAACACCCGGGTCGTAATGCCCCCAACAGAGAAGTGCCACGGTATGGGTCAGCGGCTGTAAGTCATGCCTCTACCCCCTCAGAGAATGGTGGATGCGAAAGACACGGTGAACTGGCTTGCTAACCAGGGAGGGAGGGAGAGGGGAAGGTGGGGGTGCTGCTTTGTGGGGAGACAGCAGCCAATAAACCCAAACACAGCACACGGGGCGCTGCAGAGGGGACGAAGGTTCCAGCGCTGAGGCTGTGGCCGGTCTTCCCTAAGGCTCCTGAGCCAGAGTGGTTCAGTGGCCTGGCGGGAGGTGAAAAAGGTTTGCCTCTGACAACCTGCCTTTGGCCTTTCTCCCCCTCCAAGTACACATCCTTATCTTAGCTGTAGTAAAGGGGAGCTTTTAAGTAAAAGTTCCCAGCATCAAACTCTAGTGACCCAGCGGTGGCATACACTCTTGCTCTTCAGAAACTGAGTCTGAACGGGTAGGGTGACTAGTCCCAAAATAGAGCTTCCACGACCTGACTTACCAATGAAAAATAAACACTTGCCTTGGACAAAGAGAAACGTACCCTCTTTGTACCTTGATCTTTAAACAATTTGGAGGCCCCTTAGCTGGAGACTTGTGGAGTTGGCTGAGGGGTCACCGAAAGCCCATGCTCCTTTACACTGAAATAGGAAACATTCTGATGATGTTTCATGAAAGAAATTCAATTCTCTTCCAGCTTGTCCAAGAGTTCAATACTCAAGTGGCCCTGTACCGAGAGATGGTCATTTCTATCGGGGATGTCTCTGTCAGCTGCCCCTCCCTCCGGGCGGAAATGCACAAGACAAGAACCAAAGGCTGTGAAATGGCCCGCCAGGCACACCAAAAACTTGCTGCCATCTCAGGGTAGGAGACTCTTTGGTAACTCATATACATTATTTGGTAACTCAGATACATGATGCATGGACGCGGACGCTAAGTTATGGTGGCCAAGACCTCCCAGGTGATCTTTGCAAAGGTGGGGTTTTAACCAATCACTCTGAGATCTCTTCTGAGAGCTATAGGCAAGCTATATGCCAAATTACAGTCTGAAGGTTTGTGATCCTTGTATGGACATATATTGAAGATTCGGGTATTAGGTGATTTTTTTTTTTAAAAAATCAACTTTCAATATGCGGTTCATATTGGAACTTGGGGCTTAAGATATTTTTGCAGAATGTTTGGCTATCAAAACGAACTTAAGTCATCATGCCTCAAGATTATTTGTCATCTGCTCTTAAACATCTACTGCACAAAAGGCCCGTGCAGTCGAGAGAAAATCTTTCCTAAATCCTAGATCTACTAAACTATTTATACCATGAGATAAATTCCTATGGTACCATTTAAAATAAAATCCTTAAAATAAAGTCTTAGATATAAATTACTCTCCTCACTGTAGTGTATGAAAGGGAACTTTTAACATAAGAAAATTATTTTAAAAATTGGGGAAATTCACAAATCTACCTAAACCTAGGTCGTTTATATGCCCCTCCTCACTATCTTTATTTTTATCACACTTATGGATTCCCAAACCTACTTTTGGTGCTAATATAGTGAGTGATAGGATCTCTTCTGAGACCCCATCTACTTCTTCATGATCTCTCAGTATCAAGAACAAAGTTAGTCATGGGTTTTGTCAACAGTTACTATATTCAAATAAGAACAAAGAGCCTGGAAACACAGGAATGCTTACACTAATACATTAAAGTGTTTGATTTCATCTGGATATAGCCTTTATCTTTTATCTGTGTATGTCTTTATCCCCTTCAAAGTTCAAGTCAGACTAACCAGATAATGTTGCAGATTGATCATGTGTAGAAATTATATCTAATTTACTTATTTGAAAGAATCATTCTTTGCCCTCCTTGTGTCAATAATATGTATAATGACCATAATATGTATAGTGACTATTACTGCTATATACAGATTAAAGGCATATGTTACCTTTCTCAGTAATTACCTTACATTTAACAAGTGGCATTTTCTATCATGAAAAAAGATACACAATCTAATGTCCTTGAAGTTAGTAGAAATATTGAGAAGCCTTGTCCTTTTCTGTTTTAACTGTTATACTATGAGTAACAGGAAGTGAATCTGGGATTCCATAAAGGAAATGGAAGGGATTTCAGTGTTTAAGGAATCTGCGGGAGAAATGCAGGTGTGATAAATCCCAGAGAAGAAGGGAGGAACAGCAATCAGAAACACAAATGGGAATAGTGGCAGAATAAAAACTGTAAAGAAACCATGATACAGAAGGGCAAATGGGTTTAGAATAGGAAATTTTATGCTCGGACCTAAAGAGTAGCGTCCATATAAACTTTGTGACCAAAGGCATCCAATGGGATTGTATTCAGGAACCCTGTAAGTTGAAATTCAAATGGATAACAAGTTCTAACCAGAGAAGATTGCCTAGAGAAGGAAACAAGGAGTTCAGTTTAGTGTGTTTTACTAAATGCAAGGCTCTTCCAAAGTTTCAGGAAAGAAGGAGTCGAAACTACTGCCTCCAAGTTGAGTTTTGAGGATTTGAGATGGATTTTACATACTCACAAGCGGATAGCCCTTTGCTACTTCCTTTTATCCGATCTGAGGGTTGATGTTATTGAGAGCAGTTTTTAAGACTTAGTGGGAAAACATGGTATTCTTAGAGCCTTGAAGAGGTAAGGCCAACTCTGTATAATGTTCTAGGATACGATTTGAAACATTTTCCACCTTAAAATAATAAACACAATTTAACCTTTTTTCTAAAATATGACAGTAATATGACTGAAGGAAATCGCTTTAGTTTCTCACCATGTAGCTTTCATTAATGGAAGATATGATTCCCCTTGGTGGAATTCTGTTCCTGAGACTGCTAGTTATGTGGGTTCTCATGTCAAGTTGATGTGAAAGCTGGTGAGGAGACTGTAGCATTCACTTTGAAATGTGAAGCAAGCATAAGAAAAGCAAAGGTTCTTGGGAGCAATAAAGGCAAAGACTGGATTTCTTGAGTGCCCGTCATTTGCCAGGACAATCCAGTTAATTCACAGAATGATCCTCTGAGGGAGGGATTAATATCCTTATTTTGCAAATATGTCTCAGGAAGGTTAAGGGAATTTGCCCAAAGTCACACAACTAAAAAGTAGTATAACTATGTTTCAGCCATCCGCACGGTTCTGAAATCCATCATCTTTCCTCTACCTATGGCTGCCATTTAAAAAGGTATTATGTAAGGTGGGCCTGGGTGGCTCACTTAAGCATCTGACTTCAGCTCAGGTTTTTGAGTTCGCGTCCCACATCGGGCTCTGAGCTGACAGCTTGGAGCCTGGAGCCTGCTTCAGATTCTGTGTCTCCTTCTCTTTCTGACCTACCCTTGCTCATGCTCTCTTCCTTTCACACTCTCACTCTCTCTCTCAAAATTGAAAAAAAAAAAAACCCCAAAACATTAAAAAGGTATTATGTAAAAATGAGTGAAATACTAAAACACGCTAACATATGGATCAACCAAAGATTATGTTAAATCAAAGACACCGGTCACAAAATGCCCTATATCCTAGGATTCCTTTTATATGAAACACTCAGAAAAAGCACATGTATAAGCATCAGAAAGTAGATCAGTGGTTGCCTAGATCTGGGAGTGGCAACAGGGAATTACTGCAAATGAGCTTGAGGTAACTTTTTAGAATCATCGAAGTGTTCCAAAATTGAACATGGTGATGACTGTACAGCTATGGATTTACTAAAAGTCATTAAATCGCACACTTCAAATGACTGAAGTTTATACTGTGTAAAATAGAGCTCAATAAGTGTTTTTTTAAAAAGGTATGATCTCCATCACCATGAATATCATTTGCCTTTCATTGGCCTTATTCTTTTCTACATTCCTAGCTTTTAGTTAAAGGGGCTTCAACTCGAGGGCTTGGGAAGCAGAAACCTTGGCCCTCCATGCATGCGTCAAGGTGCCTGCCGGGCAGCAATCACCCAAGCACCAAAGCTGTGCTCTGAGTAGGAACACAGGTGCTGCAAAGGCAGGACTTGAAGGAGTAAGTGAATTCACTCATTTTTTTTTTTTTTTTTTTTTTTTTTTTTACTGTTTATTTTTGAGAAAGAGAGGGAAGGAGAGTGAGCAGGGGAGGGGCAGAGAGAGCAGGAGACAAAGAATCTGAAGCAGGCTCCAGGCTCTGAGCTGTCAGCACAGATTCCCACATAGGGCTTGAACCCATGAACCATGAGATCATGAACTGAGCCGAAGTCAGATGCCTAGCTGAGCCACCCAAGTACCCATTAAAGAAAGTTTTGTAATGTTTGTTTATTTTTGAGAGAGACAAAGCACAAGCCAGGGAGGGGCAGAGAGAGGGAGAGACACAGAATCTGAAGCAGGCTCCAGGCTCTGAGCTGTCAGCACAGAGCCTGACACGGGGCTCAAACAAATGCACCATGAGATTACAAACTGAGCTGAAGTCCAGTGCTTAACCACTTAACCAACTGAACCACCCAGGTGCCCCGAATTCACTGACTCATTCTCCTGTTTACACCCTGGCTTTGGGGCCAGAGGAGGGAGACTGGGTTGGAGGTGGACAGGACAAAAAGACGATGAAGCAAGATAAATGAAGAAGGAGAGAAAAACCAGTGAGGGCTTACACCCCTTTCCTCCCTGACTGTGAAAACTCAAGAGTTTGTTTCTCACCAGCTGGCCTTGGGTAAGAAGGCCATCTTCACAGACACAGTCAAGACACTTTCTCAGACTGTGTCTAGGTCAGCAAAAGTGAGAACATAGCAGCTGAGGTCTTCTGGACAGAGCCAGCCACGTGAGTTCTCTGCCTGCCCTGAGTTACCAGAGTTACTGTCCCTTTTTTCCCTACGGTGCCGATTTTTTCCTCGGAAATAAAGTTAAGAGGGGCCTCAATGAGGACTTGCTAGAGTGGTCCCCAAACCTGTTTTAGCAGCAGAATCTTCCTTCAGTCTAAAAGTGGTTAAGTCAGATTCCTAAGGCAGGTCAAAAGTGGCATTGCTGTGCCCTGCTTGGTGTGTGTGTGTGTGTGTGTGTGTGTGTACACGCTTGTGTGCATGGCTGGCACACACATCAAGGGTAGGCGGCTGTCGGGCCAGGTCTCCTTGGACTTCCTTCCAAAAATGACTTCTGAAACACCGCTGAAGAATCCCTAGGGCTTCATGGCACACAATGTACTGATTCAGCATAATTTCCTTGTTTTGTATTTAAAGAGATTTAGAGGATTTTAAGCAACTTTAGAGGCGAGCTGGTTGAGTATGCATGAGAGGTTAGCATTTGGGCAGACCTGGGCAGAGTACCATCTTCTGTGACCTTGATGGCATTACTTCACTGTCTGAATCTCAATTTCCTCCTCCGTAAACCAGCTATGATGCTCACCATGTGGTAGTTGAGAGGGTGTGGGGGGCCAAGTATGTGACTCCCCAGCCTATAGAGGACACTGTGTCAGTCCAAGGCTGCTCTTAGCTGTCTTGTCTACCGCTCCCCAGTCTCATGCCTGCTCCGTCAAATACACCATGTCTTGAGAACGAAGAGAAAAGAGCACAGCACACAAGCTAGGAACAACCCACAGAAGCCGACATCCCGCAGGAGACCCTGGGAAATTATGCTGTGGCTGGTGGGCTGGGGGTTGGGATTCCTTTTCCAGCACTGTTTTTACGGTGCCTGTGTCTCACTCCATCTTCTTCACACCACTACCTTCTGCTAGTGGCTGCTGACGGAGTGAAAGTGAGGTTTAAGTAGGAAAATGTGCGAGGCAGCATCGTGTCATGGGAAAGAGCTTTGACTCTAAATCAGATTAGACTGGGATAAAATCCTGGCTTTACCACGTACTAGGAACGCGTGCATCTGGATATGCAAATTGCTTCCCAGGGTGGCAAAT